CGGTTGGTGAATGAGGCCCAATGTTAGCAGGTTGGAAGTTGGTGGGGGAGCATGTCCTTGTTCGTCACACTAGCAAGTCCTACAGATCCTCAATGTGGGGTTAAAAGAAGCAGTTGGTGACTCCATGTCCTCTGTAGGAGGCTCATGAGAGGTAGTTTACACTTGTCATGGTCCAGCAGAGGAGGTTGGCAATGACAGAGATCAACAACTAAATATGGGAGACAGTGAGAGAAAATGCAAAAGTGAAAGAGCAGCATAAAGACAAAGACAAAGTCTCTGTCTCCACTTGTTATTCTTTCCCACTCTTGAGTCTGTGCTGCACTCTGTAAACTCTTGATGTTTTAAGTGGCAACAGTCTGTGTTATCTCTCCTCTTTCTCTTCATTCTTCTTATATTCTCTCCTTGATTAACGCCATCATCCAGTGATCTCTGTCATTGTGCAGCAGTTTGCTCTGCTTATGACAAGAAATTCAGGAGTCTAAGGCTGATGTGCTGGCTTCAATAGCCTGAATAGAGACCTGAGCAATATTTTTTTTGTTACCATTTAATGACTTATTGGTATTATGGTTTAAAAAAGATTATTGTTGTGAGGAAGAGTGTATGTTGGTTTATGGTTCTGAAGATGTGATGAAATCACTCAATCTAACCAACCAAAGCTGCAACCCAGAAATCAGCAGCTCTAGCAACCCTTTCAAATTACAGGGCGTCATGTAATTCAACATTTATATAAAAAAATGTACAAATTGGGACTTCAGGTTTTTTGTAGTTAGGCATGATATTTGCAAGAATAGTGTTTGTGAGAAAAACAATGAATGAGACACTATTTTATACTATGAAATGATTATTTCATACCTTAGCTTATTTGTAATAGTTTGAATGTGATAGACTTTTTTTAAGCATGAGGGACGGGTGGGAGGGCATGGGATGAGCTTCAATTTTGCACCTTGTAATTTCTTATTATTAGATCTGAATTTTGTAAAGTTCACATATGTTTTAAATGTTCTGAGAAATGATTCAGGATCTTGAAAGATACCAACACATTGTCTACAATTGCTTCTGACTTGCTTCTTAACTTTATTCTAGTGTTTAGTGTTTAAATAGTCATACTGATGCATTCAAATAGTTCATTTTTAGTCTTGAAATATAGTGTTTTTTAATAATAACATCTCAATTTGTACCAACAATTTGATACACAAAATTTTGTAAGCTGAATAGCTCATTTGTATTTGTAAATAAGCAGAATTGCAATGCTGATTTAAAAAAAAAAAAAAAAAAAAAAAACTTTTCAGGGATCAGAAATGTAAATTTTCATTGCTTTAAATCATGTGCCTTTTGTCAGTAGAAATTAAAACAAATGCTTTAATTAATAATGCAAATGGTATACCAAAAACTTGATTAAGTTCCAGATTTTAGTTGATGTAATGCACTATTGGAGATATCACCTCTGTCAGCTGTAGAATCTGATCAATAACCAACAATCCACTGTATCGGAAAATAGAGAGATAACATGCACAGTTTGTGCTTGTGTGCATGTGGTAAATAAACAGCCTGCATGTATATTACAAAGTGAAATTTTGCTTTCATATTCAGTCTAAATGCATCTCTTGTACTGGCTAATATGTTAATAATAAAATGCTTTACTAAAAAAGCCTGCTGCTTGCTTGGGCAAAGAGCAAAGTGCAAAGAAAAATGATACAGGAACAATACTGTGTTGTATCCAGAAAATCAATCACTTCAAAAAGGTCTAAGGTGCTTTAAATTGAAAAACCAATGTTAGCTAGTTATTTTAATATGTAGCAAATGTTTTGAAAAAGGCAAAAATACCTAACATAGAAATCAAGCACATCAGTTGAGTACAAATCCAATAAGCCAGTCACCATTTCCAAGGAATTAAAAAGTTGATATGCCTGCTATTGATTTTAAATCACCACCTTGAATATTTAAATCTGTTAAATTCCCCATTTGAGAGAAAAGCTGCATTATTGGTTGGTCTTTGTACATTTCGTGAAACCTGTGTATATTGTGTATTGTTAAAGGGTGAGACAAGTGTACATTGATACTGTCACTGTGGCACAAACTTAACATACTGGAGGTAGCATCAGGTATTCCTGTGGGTGTCATTCAAATCACCAATTTCTGTATTTCATCAAATATCAATGGCATGTTGAATAATGCATAGCATGTATGCCTGACACAGAAATACATGTGTGACAGTGCACATTACATAGTAACTGTATACCATAGTACTTCTTTGATTTTAATACCAGTTGGCCTGATGTGTTACAGTATGGCAAGTCTGTCTCACAGCATGAATCTTTTGCATCTGTTATGCTCTTTGTTTTAGAATTGCATGGTGTTACATCTACACTGAGTTTCATTATTACTCATTATTGTGCTATGACTTCATGCTTACATGTTACTGTTGTAGATAATGAACAGAAAGTGGTTCTCAACATTGTTTGCTTAAAAAGAAAAAAAAAATAGGGTATTTTGAGTATCTGTTTTGAGTTGACTTAATTAATGACTAGAGGGATCACAGACGGGATAGACATTCACTATTTAATGTCAGTAAACTAACATTACATAAATGTGATGATCTGCAGTAGAAAATTCATCGTTGCAACGGGCCTACACCCGAGGTCTCATCTCACAGGTTGAAAAATACTTGACTTGGTTGAACCATGAGCTGTCTACTTTGTACAGTATTTATTTAAAAAATTTAATAGTAAGCAATGTTACATATTTTTTGATAGAATTAGACAACCCTGGAAACTGGGATTTGCACAAAATTGTGAATTTTCTGTGATGTTACTGCTTCAAAAGAATTATCCAAGCCTTTGCATTTACCAAGAACTGCTCAGACTGTGCTCTGTTTTCTGAATTGTAATTTCCCCCCCAAAAAAAAGAAAAAAAAGAAAAGAAGATGAGTTAAAATGTCTTATAATAGTTTTGAATTGTCTGGAAACCTATGAAATGTTTTTAAATGTACCTTTTAAAAAGGCCGACTCTGACTCTCCACTTCAACACTATTATCATTAGTTGAATCATTTGATGATTCAATATAGCTTGGTTTCTGTATGCATGACAAAACAACATAACTAGATTATGCAGGGATTTTTCTGGCATGGTTTTTCGTCCTCTTCACTGTTCCAGTCTTATTGAATTTTTAATGCAATAAAGAACATTTCAAGCATCTTTTTGTTCCTGCTAGTGTCACATCAAATGGAAAAACATTACCAAATGTGATATATTTTTAACGTGGGATAATCAGAAAGACTAATTCCAGTGGTATAAATTGCTGCAGTAATGTAGACGTGTGTGTCTGTACACCATGGCATCACTTTGGTGCACTAGAGGTGTGACAACGCACACCTCTGACCACAACCAATGGTTAGAATACACAAGTGTGCCAAAGTGCTCATTACTCATAAAATCAGTAAATCAGTATTTTGACAACAATTACAGTTTTCATAAAAAATTGCAGTTTACGTTTTGTGTCATTTTTAGACAGTTTCAGATTTTATAATGGGTGTGTATTGCATGGAATGTTCAGAGGGCATGCTATATCAAAACATTTAGAGATTTTTGGCCTGTATCAGCCAGTTTTGGTCTCATTCTGATATATTTTAAGGTTTTTGAGAAAATCCCCCCTAAGTGCAGATATGGCTGTCCAAAGCTCCCATAGACACACACCCATGCTCTAAAGCTCTTGCCCTCAACAGAGTTGAGGGGAGTTTCTAAACTTCAATAAAACCTCAACTGTAAACTGTAGGTACACATAAAAGTTATCAATCTATTTATTGAAGCCTTGGGACGGCAATAGTGAGGTGATCTTTTCAATAGGACTTGCAGTTTTCCCTCTGAGATCCAATTTTCAAACACAAGTTTCATCTTAAAAGCTGTCATCTGCCTGGGGAGACAGAGGGGATTGTGTGTGTGTTTTCCTCCTCCCCCTGGTGGCCACAGTCACCAAGGCAACCAGTATCTCAGCAGGTGCTACTGAAAGTTACCGGGCAGAAATGGACAAAGCTGATTCTGATTTGCTAATTAGACTCATTAACTTTGAGCCTTTTAACTCAGGTATGAGAGCAACTCCAAGTTAAATCAACACGGTGTACTTGTGTGTGCATGTTGTTGTGTGGTTCTTTGTGTGTGTGTACATGTCTTTCTATAATTGTGAGGACAAATGTGGTTAAAAACCATTATTGTGAGGTCATTTTGGCTGATCCTGACAACTTCAAAGGGGCTGTTTAAAAGTTAAGCTGAGGCAGTTTCTAACATCACGTACACACATACATTGACAGACACATAAACACCATTTCCACCTTATAGCTATTAACTGTACAAGGTGTCTCAACCTGGTAACAAAAGCTTTTCGGAGGCTGTAATGTAGACCGCTATACTACCACACACAATACACACACGCACATTTACAGACACACACAAGTGCAGTTGCTGCCCAAATTTTCACACAACTGATCGTGATTAGCCAATTAGATTGATTAAGTCAGGGTATTCTTTACTGTTGTCCATGTTGTTCTGTTCTAGCAGGAGAAATCACAGTAGCTTTATTGCAAATCAACTTCTGTCAGGGCATGTAGGCCTACATGTGTGTATACATATCTTGCTATGGTTGTGGGGACAAATTAAATTTTTCATCATTGTGAGGTCACTTTGGCAAGTCCTTGTGGTTCCAAAGAGCTTTTTGAGGGATACCTGCAGTGACTGACGTCAGAGTTAGGATAATTATCTGAATGAAACTCAAAGTAACGTCCTCTGTAGAGATTGAAATGTGTGTGATGGATACGCACCAAGCAGCTGGCACATTCAAAATTTCTTCAGGAATTCTCTAGTTTTTGTTTTATTGTGCTAATGCTGTCTCATACTCAACCTTAGACCATTCCCGGGCACGTGCCGCATCCGGAGGACCGTGCGCGTTCACGCGTCGCCTCAGAGAGGGGCGGGAGAGGAGGAAAGAGAGAGAGATGAGGTGGGGGGAAGATAGGGTAATGAAAATGATGGCGACCGATGCAGAGGAGATAAGAAACCAAACAAGTCCTTGCCCCATCCCCGACACCAGTCTCAGCACTCTGTCCATCAAAATAACGCGGAAAAACCAGGATAGACACTGGAAGTTGCGGTTTATTTACCTTCAGTGCTGTGAGTACCGACACATCACGACGTTTACACTCAAACGCCGGCACAGGCTACACAATCCCGATCAGAAAATGCTGAAAAATGCGCCGCATCACAATTGACCGACATCTGGTTTGTCACCAAGAATAAATGCACAGTTAGCCTAGCATAGGCCTAACGCATTATTTAAGCACCGTGCCTCCATTTAACATGTTATTTATGGGGGGGTTTACCGGGACAAACACACGCAACAACTAACATGGAGGGGACGCAAATTCCAACAGGAAATAAATAAATAAATCTTGTCCATACTACCTAGCCAAACATAGTCTTCAGTCAGTCATTAGGTTTCACCATTTAATTCGGCATGCATCTTATGAACCTAGTAGAGCTTATTTCTGGTTTGAGCTTTTTAAATGACCCTGTCCAGGATGCCCATAATTTGTCACCTGAACTGTTTTAAAAAGTTGACATTTTGTTGACATTTGCAGCTTGTTTTTACCTAATTAGCAGCCTATGTTTGCTAATTGGATTGTCAGGTTTTTAATGTAGAATTATGATTTTACTATGATTAAAATTTAGCACTGGCCTAGTGGCGGCTTGTAGGCTATTTGTTAAAACAATGTTCTCATTATTAACAAAATACAGTATATAGAAGGTAAAAGATATTTATTATATCACCATAAAAGCCAACGCAAGGCAGCAAATTATTAATCTTGGTCCGTATTCACAAAGCATTTTATCTTACCACTAAGAGTACTACTAAGTCCTAAGTTTTCTCCAAAGTCCTATTCACAAAGCTGCTGAGATCAACTTTTAGTAAGGAGATGCAAAAACTCCTAAGCAAAGGATGCGACTTCGTTGCCATGGCTGACGTCAATTTTCATGGACGAGCTCCGTTGCAGGAATCACAGGGATTGGTTGATGAAAGACCGTCTGTGTCTGTGAAAACGAATGCGCAACATCCCGCAGTAATAATAATAGTAATAAAAAAAACCCACTGAGAAATAAACGAATACAAATTAAATAATAACGGATTTTGTGTTGTTTACAAAAGTAGTGAATTCTCCAAAATTCATCTGTATGATAAGGTTTGTGTCGACCTAGGAGAATTTAATTTTACTACAAAAACTTACATTCAAAACTTTCAAAACCCAATTCATGAACATCTAAAAGAAAGCATATGAATTGTCCTATGAAGTTGGGTCAGAGTGCAATTATTGTTTGGTGGATATATTGGCTTTTCTCTGTTGACAAGTAATGCAGCGTTGCCAAACACTTAACTTCCGCACTGATCGGGTTGTTTGGGTTGGTAGGAGATTGCATCCTTCACAAAATCCACAACGATCAATATTTCCCTCATCATTGAGTCAGTATCTTTTAAGTAATTCAGCATTGTGTAAGGATTCCAAAACACTGTGATGTGGAATGACAGCAGCCCTTTTACGTTTCTTTGTGATTTGGTCTTAGTGAGTTAGGAGTCCTCTCGACTACTTCTAACTTCTCCCAGACTTAGGAGCTACTTTTAGCACTAAGTGACTTTGTGAAAAGCTATTAGTAAAAAAAAATATGGGAGTCCTAAAGTTAGGACTGACACACCCATTAGTTTTAGGAGTTTCTCTTAAATAGGCAAGTTAGGAGCTACTTTTAGCATTAAGATGCTTTGTGAATACAGGCTGTGTTCCATATCTGATTAGGACTACACTTCCTGGCCCACCATTAATTGGCTTTTCCTTGATCAAATTTTTGTCACTGTGGTAGTCAACCTTTATTTCCTGTCCTGCTGCCATCGTGAAGTGATTTACTCAGGTTTAATAGAAAATAAATAGAGGTGAACTTGATAAAGCTCTTTACTGACAGGTGAAGACAAGTGGTAGCAAGACACATGGCAGGGGAAAAAATGGGAAAATGTTGATGCTTTTTGGTGAAGGACTATGTCTATTGCAACCTGTGCAGCAGGTTGGGATGTATGCGCTTGGGTTAAGTGTGGCATCAAATGTTCTTAGAGTTCTTAGCCACATGTTGAGATGTAAACAATACGCTGTAAGGCTCTTATGTAGTCAGACATTGCCTTAGGAGTAATAAGTGAAGGACTGTAGCGTGCCTAAAGACAAGGGGCAAATGTCTGAGGCATCAAATTCAAAACACCATTAAATGTCTATTAGGGTCACTTTCTCCATGTTCCTGTCTCACTGTTATAATTTTGTCTCCGTAACACAAGGTATTGAGTCATTATATTACATGCCTCAGCAGCTGTGAGAACACAGACAATATGAAAAAGGTTATAATGACATTTCTAATTATTGATGCCATATGTCCCGCAGCCATCTGTAGAGGGGTGGTGGAAGAGCACAGAGGAGGATTGATAAGAGAATGAAAAATGATCAGGCTGATTTGAAATGACAGCTTATTTCTAGTGATGATGGGAGGTCCGTAGAGTGCAAGTGATGGATTTGAATGTGACAGAAAAGTGACCCGCCTCGTCAATACAACTAACAGCACGTGATGACAGAGGGGCTGGTTGATTGTGTTTGTTGTTATCAGAGAAAAGGGTCTCACAGAGTGTGCAGAAATCTACTTTCTGAAAAAAATGTAGTGTAAACATGAATGCTTTTGCATCAAATGAGTTTTCTTTTTCAGTTGGTTGATGTTTTCTAACTACAATACTGTATCCAGAGGCGTGACATCTACAGTACATAGAGTACAACTGACAAACAGTTGTTTCAGAAAACATTCAGACACCTTTGCTTAGTGTTACTCTGTGATTTTCACATTGTCTATGATTTATAGTGTGAGCATTTTACAAGTAAATATAGCTGAAATCAGAGACAGCGGGTGTTTTTAACTTGTGTATGGTTTTGTCAGGCGATGTTGTAAAAAATCATAAAATCTGTTTTTTTCAGCAAAGAGCGGTAACTTGGAAACAGCTTGGATGTGACTGCTGGTTAATATGTAGTCTTAATGGGCCGCATTCCTTCAAATACTAAATGTGTGAGCAAAGAGAGTAAGAGATGCAAATAGATGAAGGGCTGAAACCTGCTGACACTAGGCAGAATCCAAATACAACATGCCATATACTAGGTTTTGACCTTGTCTTGTTTTCTTTTTATTCATTCCATTTCCGGTTTGCTCTCCAACTTCCAGCCACTGTAACCGGCTTTAGTAAACACGTAGAAAACAGAAGTCAAAAGTCTTGATCCTGATCAATATTCATAGTTTACTATACATTTCTCAAATTTGGGAACATCTCACTTTAATGAGTAGATCTCATGGCTTCATAATGTCACCTCTTTTGCAACTAAAAAAGGTGGTCTTTGTCACAAAGTTACCTATAGCATTAACCAGCTTACTTTGTGTTGCCACTTAGATGTTATGGCTTGATGTTTGTCAGTACAACAATGCATGTTGTGACATGTCACCGTAGGAAAAGCTCAGGTGTAGATAATACTATCAAAGATGTCTGAATTCCTTTCAGCTGCAGTGTCAGGGTCCTGATATTGTGTATGCTTGATCATGGTCACACTCTCAATGCGTACTGTGACACTTGAATAGAACATGTTCATCATTTATGCAATTAGTAATACCTGTGCTTTCCCTTCTATGACAAGTGAAAATGTCTGCTGTGAGACAGGTCTATTAAGTTACTAGCAGCATTTGTCACAAATTATCACTAAATTAGCTGATTTTTGACGGGCTGGAAGCGGATGTATTTGCATGAATTAAAATATAATTTTTCACCTAATTATATGATATATATTTTTTGATAATATATTTAGGAAAATCATCTTTTACACATTAATAAGCCCATTTCATTGAAAACTGGACTGATGTTGAACCTCATACAGACAGATATATGGTATGAAAATTAGCTTTCTTTAAAGTGACTATAATTGATATTTTTATATTAACAATGTATCAGATGACTGTGGGAAAAAATGTATGAAAGGCATCACTCATAGTGAAGGATCCACTGAGAATTATTGGCTGAATCTGCAGCTCCTCTCAGTTTTATGGAGCATTATAGTGATTTGAGCTGAAGATCACTTGTTTATTTTCATTTTCATTTTCATTTACAATTGTTTAGCTGTGCTCATACTGTCTTGGTAAAAAAAACACACACAAAAAAAAAAAGCAATAGTTTCCGCAAGCGTGACGCGCAGGTGAGGTAAGCAGAGTGGCCTGACCCATTGTCCCAGAGCCATGCACATTTTCGTTAAAGTGATGCAATTCACAAACATTTAGAGTAAAAAATTTTGGTTAACTCTAATTTTTTGTGAGCTGGTGGGAATCATACCACAGGGGGTGATTCGATAACATTGTAGTATTTCAGAGGTCTAAGGCTTTACATTTTAATGCCAGTGAATCATCAGGACTCCTGCTGTGCCTCCACACAGCAGTTCATAGAAACTAGGAGGCAAGAAATCAGGCCAAGCTGGCAGGGGATCTTGGAGTAACAGTGGTGCCCAGTTCAGTTAAATTCAATTTTATTTGTGTAGTGCCAAATCATAACATACATTATATCAAGGCACTCTGCAGAGTAAGGTCAAGAGGAAAAGAGAGAGGAGAAAGAGGGGGAGAGAGAATAGAGAGAGGTGTTCCCGAGAGGTGTAGTCATATGGGTTTTGACTGTGACTAACCAACCACTGTCTTTGCTAATAGAAATGTTAAAATGCAGAATACCCCAAGAGAATAACAAACTGAAGTTTTCTGTTTATTTGAACATTTTTATCAAGCAACTGAATTATTTTTTCTTGCCCTTTGGCTATTTGGTTATGACTTTCAGATATTTGCCCTAGGGTGGTTAATATTTGTTTTTCAAAAGTTCTTCTCCCTCAGCCTCCTCCACCTCTTCAGATCTGGGTGCACCAGGGGTTCCACCGCCGCCATCCTCCTCCCGGGGTGGCCCGTATAAGTCTCATAAAAGGCTGGCTGGTCTTCTGCTGGCGGCCTAGTCTGCGGAGGGTTTAGATTTAGGAATGCATGGAGGTGGTTTGGTCAGTGCTCAGCTTGTCTTGTTCAGAGGA